CAGGAGCCTCAAGTTCATGAGGGCCTCCCCCACCCAGGGTGTCACTAGGCTTGGTGCCAGCCAGTGCAACTCACGGTGTCCACCCTCCACCCCACCTGCAGCCCAGCAATGACCGCAGCTGCTCACAGCGGGAGAAACCACATGATGGCAAGTGTCCATCCCGATGGCTGGGCAACAATGACAGGTCTGACTGGCGCACATTAAAAGGTCCAAATGACCAGCTTGCCTAGTGTTTGTTTAGTCTTGTAAGTATACGAGTAGATGTAAATTGAGTTGACAACGTTTTCGTTTCGTTTTGTAACCGTGGGCACATTTCCATTCTGCTGAAACACTGCACCGAAGTTTGATAGACTCATTGTGGTCTCACGCCCTCTGACGGTGCCACCTGAATGCGGTCCACACCCCACGCACTCCCCCATGTACAAACACATGTACATCCCCGTGCACACACACGTGCATGCATGTGTACACACATGCGTGCGTGCACACACTGCATCCTCCACAATCAGGAGTCTGGTTCATCCCGAGAGCCCGGGCCGTGTGGGTTCTCAGCGGAGGAGCAGCATGACTAAGGTTCCCGTTATGAAGGTTCAGAGTCCACGGTGAAGAGGGAGGGTTTCCCAGAGCAGGGCTGGGGGCAGGGGGCCTGCTTAGGGGGCTGTGGTATGATTCTTCAATCATACGAGAGAGTCAACGAGGGTCTGAGTGGCGGCAGGAGTGGTGGGGTGGGAGGAGGTGGGCTATCTGAGCTTGCTAGGGAGGTGTGACAACAGAGCTGTGCAATGGATTGAGGGTATCCCCCATGTCCGTGCTGGGGCCTCCACTGAGCCGGAGAGCAGGGCAGGAGACAGTGTTCAGAGCAAGAGAGTGGACTCAGCTTTGAGCCAAGGAGTCTTCCAGCCCTCCAATGACCTCTTAGCACCTAGCACAGCGCCTGGTAACCTTATAGGACAGGGTAGAACTGCCCCTTGGGAGTTTCCCCAGACTAATTATTTGCAGGAGTAGAAAGCCCTGTCTTCCTCCCGAGGAGCGGCTGGTGGTTTCAAACTGCAGACCTTGTAGATGGCAGCCCGACTCATAACCACTAAATTACCAGGGCTCTTGGGAGGCAGGCAGCTCTCAGGATATACTTGCCGAATGATTGAATGAATGGGGTCCCACGTCACCTCACAATTCCAAGGTACTGCCCTCCCAGTCCCTGTTCCTGCCCGCACCCTGACCCCCACCCCCAACCCCGAGGTCTGTGCTGGTGCTGCTTCAGTCAGGATTAATGGCTTTGGCACCTGGACCTTCCTGTGCGAAGAAGTATCACACATGGCCCTGAAATCCCCAGGTGCAGGTGGCCTGCCCTCTCCCTCCATCCCTAACTGAATGCCCCTCTTCCCCTGAGGTGACTCCCACAATGCCTGGCACCAAAGAAGCCTGGGTTCAGCCCCACCACCCAGGCTGAAAAGGCTCCTGTCGGCAGAGACCCAAACTGTTTGCAGGGGCCCCCGAGAGGGCACTACCATGGGCGTGGGCACTCCCACTGACCCCCCTCCCTGTGCAGCTGCCCAGCTCCACTGGCAGAGGCCCTGGGGTGCTGCACTGAGCTGAGGAGGGCCTGGGGCTGGGTAATAGCCAGATCTCACTGCCCCTGAGCTCTACCTAAGCAGGGTGGGGGGTGGGGGCTGCGGCTGTGGCTTTGATGAAGGCAGGGCTGGGGCTGGAGGGAGCAGTGAGGGCTAAGGTCAGGAACAAAGGGGCAGGTGGAGATGTAGGGAAAGCAGGAATGTTGGGTCTCACAAGACTCTGGCCGAGGGGCCAGCCCAGTAGGACCCAGACTCCCCAGGGGCCCGCACCAGGCCCTGTGAGGAGGCCCTGGCTAGGTTCCAGTCCCTGGACTACAGGCCCTCAGGGCAGTGTTGCTGGCTGCCCTGGGGGAGTAGGGGGTGGGCAGGTCCCAGGGCCCAAAGTCCACGCTCCAATGCAGATCATCACACCCTACAGGCCGTGGCCTTTGGGGCCTAAGACCACCTCCACACTGGGCTTCCCCTGGCCCCTCAGTTTCTGCTACCTCCTGGCCTGCCTTGTTTGCCTGCGAGTTCCCAGAGGTCAGGGTGCCTGGCCCACTTGGGGTCGAGGCAGGTTGTGGAACAGCATCAAGTCCAGGGAATGGGCAGTGTGAATGGAGACAGGCCCCGGGTTCCCAGACAGGCATCTACCAGGGGTCTGGGGGAAGGAAGAGGGTGACAGATGGAGAATGGTGGGTGGGAGGGGATAGAACCTGCTGGAGAAACATTTCAGACCATAATGTAATGTCCACAGTGGTCCCCATGGCCCAGCCCCATCTGCTCTCACTCAGTCTATGCCCTGCTCACAGGTGCCACCTGGGACACCTAACCATACCCCCCAAGGAGCAGTTCCCACCAGCACAACTCCCCCAAGCTCCAGGGCCACCTCCAGCCAACCTGCCCCCTGACCCCAGAACGCAGACTTTCCTGGGTCATTGGTCCTAGCCCCAACACCTGGCACTAACCTGGGACCCTAGGGGCGGCAACCAAAAGGTAAAGAGGAGAGAGGCCGCATCTCAGAACCAGAGAACAGAAGAGGGACCCAGAAAGCAGGGGCCTCTGGCCCACCTGAGGCACCTGTCAGCCCTGGGGCTGCCACCGTTCAACCTCTGAAGCTGGGCGGGCAGTGGCCCAGGAGGCCTCCCCACCCACCAGGGTCTAAAGTGCACAGGTGTGGCAACCTGTATACCTCGTTACCACAAAGCCAGCCTGTCTGCTGGGGCCCTGCCTGTGGCCACCAGCAGAGAAGCTGCTGCTCGCCTGCCACCAGCACTGGACCACCAAGCCACCACCAGCCACCCCAGGGACAAGCCACCAGGATTGACTGAGATCCAGGTAATCCCCTGGCCCCCGGGAGCCATCAGGATCCAGGCCAGTGAAGGGCATCTGGGGGTGGCTGGAGGCTACGCGATGGCTTCCCTGTTCATGTCGCCAACCTGCTCCCAGATGCAGCCGGAGGGCCAGCTTCAAGGAGGGCTGGCTGGCTGAGATACAGACACCCCTTTGTGGCTTCAGAGGTTACATGTTGGGCGGCTAACCACAAGGTTATCAGTTCAAAACCACCAGCCATTCTCTGGAGAGAGATGAATCTTCCTACTTCTGGAAAGAGTTACAGCCTGGGGGCAGTTCTACCCTGTTTTACAGGCTCACTAGGAGTCAGAATTGACTCATGGCAGGGGGGTTTTGAGTTGTGGCTTCAGGGTTCCTGAGGGAGCAGTGGCTAAGGTGTTAGGATGCTAATCAAAAGGCTGCTGGTTCACGCCTAGCAGCCATTCCGAGGGAGAAAGCAGTGGCAGTCTGCTTTCCTGAGGAGTACAGCCCAGCCTGGAACCCCTGCCGAGCAGTTCCACTCTGCCCTGCAGGGTTGCTGTGAGGCAGTCACAGGAACTGCTGTGGGTCTGGCCTGGGATTTCCTCTCTCGGCTTCCTCCAGCTCCCTTACCGGGGGATGAATGGTGCCAGCCCCCTCCTTGGGTTCATAAAGACTGTGTGAGTGTGAGTGTGAGTGTGAGTGTGTATGTGTGTGAGTATGAGTGTGTATGTGTGTGTGTGAGTGTGTGTATGTGTGTGTGTGAGTGTGTGTATGTGTGAATGTGTATGTATGTGTGAGTGTGTATGTGGGTGTACATGTGTGTGAGTGGGTATATGTGTGTGTGTGCATGTGTGAGTGTGTGTGGGCGTATGTGTGTGTATGGGGGTGTGGGGGGCGGACAGGGGGTGCGGGAAGGAGGAAGAGGTACTGACCAGCTCACTTTCTCTTCCACTCTTGAGGAGAAGCAGGAAATGCCAGCCTGGGGTGGGAGGCAGGGTTGGGGGGAGCAGGCTTCTAGCTCCCAAATGAGGCCCTGGTCCCCCAGATGAGGAAGACACACACACACAACACACACACACACACACACAGCCTCCAAATTCCCTGAATTATTTCCCATTAACTCGTTTCTACATACACCTCTGATTTGTCTTATCATTTCCCTAACAGTGGTGATAAACAGGGTGTGGGCCGCTCTCTTACCCTTTGCCCAGGGTATTCCTGGGTTTCGGTGCAAGTCAGGTGCACCAGGCAGAATACGCAGACACCTGGGGGTCTGGCACCCAGGGAGGATGCAGGCAAACCTCACTCAAAGGACACGCCCCCTGGGCCCCACCCGCACTGACCGCCCCGCCCCGCCCCACAGACATTGAGGTCGGGTCCACCTTCACACGTCCCACTCTGTATCCTAGCGCCACACTGGGGGTCAGGGATGACTGACGTAGTCGCTGTCCTCGGGAGCTCAGAGCCTGCCCGGTGAGGGAGGCACTCGTGAACACAGTTAAATGTGGCGGCTGCGGCCAGCCAGGCCCCAGTCCTCTCTAACCAACAGCAGCTGTTCCCCACAGCACGGGTGTCAGCCAGAATGGCTGTTTCGAGGAGTAAATGAGTGAATGAAGTGAGGCCTTAGACCAGTGCTTGGTACACAAACCCAACCCAGCCCACTGCCGTCGAGTGGGTTGCGACACACGATGGCCTTAGAGGACGGAGTGGGCCTGCTCCATGGTGTTCCAGGGCACTGACCTAGTGGTCCTCAACCTCCTAATGCGGTGACCCTTTTACCAGGTCTTCATGTGTGGTCACCCCCAACCGTAAAATCACTTCGTTGCTACTTCATCACTGTAATGTGCTACTGTTATGAATCGGGCGACCCCTGTGGAAAGGTCATTCGACCCCCAAAGGGGTCGAAACCCACAGGTTGAGAACTGCTGTGCTAACCTTTATGGAAGTGGAGTGCAGCATCTTCTTCCCACAGAGCAGCTGCTGGGCTTGAACCGCTGACTTTCTGGGCTTTTCTGATTAGCACATTAAAAATCCATAGGCGGCACCGAGTCAGACTCACAGCGACTCTCTATAGGGTTTCCCAGACTGTAAATCGCTACAGGAGCAAACAGTCTCCTCCTTCTCCCACAGAGTGGCTGGCTGGTTTGAACCTTGGACCTTGCGGTGAGTAGCTCAACATCTAACCCACAGCTCCACCTAGTGAATCCCAGGAGACTGTGGTGAAGATGAATAAAGTCTGTAAGGGGCTGGCACAGACTCCTTGCTAAGGTGCTACCCATCCTGGCTGCTGAGTCTGTTGCTCACTCTTGGGTACAGGCCCTCTGTGGGTGGGATGGAGAGGGGATGGTGGGGCTGGGATTCAGAGGCTGGGGCGGGCCGGCTCAGGGTGAAAGGCAGAGAGACTGGTAGACATTCAGGGAAGTGCAGGTGAACAGCACTGTGAGGCACCCACACCCCCCCCCACACACTCACACCCACACCCCGCACGCACACACTCACACACTTCCTGCAAGCCTCCGTATCCTCCCAGTTGGCAGGGTTGACACCAGCTGGGACAAGAGGGTGCGCTTGGCAAGCAGGGCCGCTGAACCCTTGGCCTTTTCTACGGAAGCTGGGTTCAGCCCACACCCGGGGCATCTCTTCCCCAGGCCCAGGGGACCATCTGGAGCTTCGGCCTCGGGCCCCAGGCTCCTGTCTACCAGTCACATAATGCCTTCTGCTGACCAGTAACGGGCGGCCTGGATCCTGCCCGGGGGCCCAGCCTTGCCCTGGCTACCTGCAGGCCTTCCTGCTCCTTGACCTTGGGGCTCCGGGCCAGCCAAGGGGAGGCTCCTCAGTGGAGGACTCTGTAGCTTCTACACCTAGGGCTTTGGGTGCTGTCATGGGGTTCCAGGTGGGAGCTCAGTCGCAGCATCAGCGCAGCGGGGGACGAGCTGTGAGAGCAGCCCTGCTGTCCGCCCAGCTCTGACGGCGGCCTCCTTGGTTTAGACCTAGAGAAGTGTCCTCCCAGCGCCAACATGTCCCGGCCCAACAGCAGAGCCATTTACAGTAAGCTTCCACCTCCCTCCCACTCCTCGTCCCTCGTGCCTTTCTGAAGCCTGTCCTGCAGCCCCCCACCCACTCACTGCCTTCAGTTACCCAGTGCTCACCCTTCCAACCTCCCCCTCACACCTGTGACCCCCACAGTGCACCGGAAGGAGTACTCCCAGAGCCTGGCCTCCGAGCCCAGCTTCCTGCAGCACAGGGTGGAGGTGAGTACCAGCTCAGTTCTTTCTGCCACAGCAGACATCAAAGACAAGTCCCTGCACAGCCCTGCAAGCCTCACAGCGCATCTGCTATGTACCAGGGTGGGAACAGGGACAGTGGGCACCAGCAGAGCAGAGGGAGCTGCAGTCTGGGGGCTGCCCATCTCCGGGCAGCAGGCATCCCACATGGTACTTTCCTGAGCTGCCTCAACCCTCTGCCCCCTGCTCCCCAGCCCAGGGAACTGCTCTTGGCCCAGGGTCTACCATGCTGGAGGAAGGAAAGTGTGGGGCCAGCAGATGCTGTGGGGACAGTGAGGGCCCGCAGGAGGCCGTTGCCTGGAAGGGAGATGTCTGGGTCTGAGTCCGGGCGGGTGAGGCTGGGATAGAGTCTCTGGCTCTCACAGAAGGAGGACATTGCTGCTGGGAGACCTCATTGCCTGAGGGGATCGCAGGTACAGGGCACAGCCTCACCTGGTCAGGGTGACACCTCAGATGGCATCAGAGAGCAGGGCTCTGGTGACAGATCAGGGAGAGGGATG